CTCTATTGCCTTTGATTGGTTTGTTGAAGTCTCACGGAAAGCTAGTGATGGTTGGAGCACCAGAGAAGCCTCTTGAGCTTCCAGTTTTTCCTTTGCTCGTGGGTAAGCATGCATAAAAAATAATGCTTCGACATGTTTACTTTTGTTTCCTCTATACAACGATATATTTCCACTGCGGGATGTAGGATCTGTGGTATGAATTGTTTACTTTTTAAACTTTATAATGTCTTCGGCGGCAACTTGTTTACAAGAGTGTATTTTGCAATTGCAGGAAGGAAGATAGTAGCTGGGAGTGGCATTGGGGGCATGAAGGAGACGCAAGAGATGATTGATTTCGCAGCCAAGCACAGCATAACAGCTGATATTGAGGTTATCCCAATGGATTATGTGAACATTGCCATGGAGCGCCTTCTTAAAGGAGATGTCAAATATCGATTTGTCATCGATATTGGAAACACATTGAAGTCTACCTTGTAGATTTTGCATCGATGCATGTTAAACTGATGCCCCTTGGGAGATCAAATGGAAATCGAGTTCGCATTCAAGCTGTCGCTTTTTCGGGTTTTTTCCCCTTTCTTTTCCAAAGAATAGTTCTGGTTTTTTTTTATGTTTTATGTCACATTATGAGCGGAATGTATTGATGTATTTTGAATTAATGAATAAACAAGATTATGATCTTTATAAACGGTCAGTCATCAGGAAGCAAAATGGTGCTCGTGTTGGTAACTATTCTAGTGATCTCACTTTAGATTCTTCAAGAACTTGATCAACCAAGTCCTAGACGTACTCCTAGCAAACAAGAGACTTAAGTGTCTTCGAGTTTATATTTTCCTTGCGGGATTAGGATTAAGTGATCAGCAAAACTAAACTCTCTTTTGGATTTTCAATGACACCGTTTGTTTGACATAAGTGAGTAAAATGAGAATTAATATATTCAACGCCGCCATCATTTTTTTTTGGATTTTCAATGACACAATTTGGTTGCTATGGCACCATATTGATTCGTAATTTTGACTTTTGGCGGCTCACACGATATAACTTTAAGAAATTCTTCCAACCACCACTCAAAGCTCTTGGTCTTTTCCGTTTTTCAGGAATCCACAACCCAAGACCGTTGTTTGATTAATTATCCACTCCTAACAAAGGAGCAAACATCAACCCCTACACATTGTGTTGGATGCAATGACAAACACAATCACATCACCAAAATGGTCATAACCACATCTTGACTTAGCATCTGCCTAAAAGAAATTGTCTAGTATTCCACATTCGTCAATCTCCATCTTGAAATAGTATGACTCGATTTTATCTTTCTCGTCCTCAAAATGCTGCCAAGCAATGTAACAAAATAAACCCCACCTTGCCAACAGAAGAGTCGCTAGGCCTAGACGAGGACATCTATTCATGAGGGTTTGTATGGTTTTAAAAATTCAAACGATAATATACCCATCCTCAAAGAGTAGAAGATGCGTTTACGAGTGTTTGCATATTTTTTGCACTTGTAAATTAATTATTAAAATTTCTTTAATGTGTTTGATATTTTTAAATTACGTGATATTTTTATTTTTAATGCTTTTTTATAATTCTTTTAATCTCAAGCTTTGGCTATAGTATACTATAAAAATAAATAAATAAAACTTAAGTTTTCAAAATGTATATAGAATAATAATACAATAATAATTAATAAGTAATATATACATATACATTATATCTATTGTATTTTATAGTAACTTTTTTTAGTAGTTTAAAAAATAAAAATCATAAATTTTTTTTTCTTCTTATCGTGTCCAAACATGTTACCCGTGTGTCACTCTCGTGTAAACATGTTAAGGACCCGTTATTGTTGGGTTCTTATTGTGCAACCCAATAACGACCTGATTAGTTATCGTGTTTACCCAAAACCCGTTATTTTCATGTCGTTTACATATCATGTTAACGGGTTTTATAAGAAATTGCCAGGTCTACCTATCACCAACCAATATCGACAAGCCACCACACCTTTTCCGCCTCTCACCACTCCACCAACACCCAATTTTTTAAATTTCTAATTCTTTATAATGTTCTAATTGATATAAGTTTTCTGATATACTCCAAATTATTAATATAGGATGCTATTAAAATTGACGTGTATTGGATGAAACTTTTAGATTCATAATAGATTGTAGTTATTGTTATGATTATTAGAATGTAATTTATGATATTTTTATTGTACTTTGATCATGTGTTAGTTTATATATGTGTGTGTGTTTGTGTGTGTTCCAATACACTTTTAGATTCATAATAGATTGTAGATAATAGTATGATTATTAGAATGTAATTTATGATTTTTTATTTATAGTACTTTGATCATGTGTTAGTTTTTACAATGCCATAGTTCAACTTCAATTTTGGATGGTCCAAATCCTATTCCAGAAAGTTCAACTCTAATATTGAGATCACCCGATATTAGAATCATGGATCCGGCACTGTCTATTAGTGATGTGATACACTTTTATATATTCTAAAACAATCAACTATGGCCATGGAAATTGAATAGTTCATCCCCTGCAAACTTAACACGTCTTGTATAAAAAAGGACTTGCCATAAATTACTTTCAAATTGTGTCAAATGGGTCATTGATCGTATATTTGTAAAATCGTCTAGAACTCCCGAATTCGGTCACTTCACTTTTACTATTTTGGGTTGGCTAGGAATTAAGCATAGGGTTAGCATCTTCATTTGCTCGGTAACAGCATTGACAATGACGAGCTATATGGCCTCTGTGTGTTCATCAAGTTCAGTTGTGCAAGAACTAGACAATTACAAAACAATCCAAAGTTGTTTTAAATATTACTACGACTAATATATTGGGAAGCAAAGCATAATTGGTAATTAATTTCGTTGCGCACCTGCGTCTAGATGCGGACAATTCTTCTTGCCACTGGTGCATCTCCTATATTGACTTCGCTTCTCTTTTGTACTTGTTTTTGACGCTCATTTCCTTTTAACTTGAATTAGATCTTTAAGCACCTCGGTTTGAGAACTCCTACCTCCCTCTTCATTTTCTTTTTCTTTTTTCGACCACGGCTATCACTAACCAAAGAGTCCGGCTTTATACAGAAGAATTTCTACGGTTTCCACATATTGGGCGTGGCATGATTGGTTCAACGGTCTCCACTGTCCATCAAGAATGAAAAATACTTACTAGCCACTTGTGGTAGTAATCATTGATTCACTTTTTGATATTTACTTAAGATGGAATAGAATAATTTATCTAGAAATTAATTTGGTAAATCCAAATTAAAAAGCACCCCTAAAAGCAGCAAATTTAGGGGGAAATGGATTATGTATAATGCTGCCACCAGGAATTCCACGTTCCTCAACATACTATTGTGGAAGGATAGGCTCTTTGCATGATGAGTTTTATTATTATTATTTTTTATTTTTTGGTCAGCCGCGATGAAGATCAGATGCAGGTAAGATGATTATTAATTTAAACAAGTTTGTGCATGTAGTGATTCAAGTTTATTTGAAGTGTGTAGGGGTGACTGACCTTTTTCTTGTTTTTATTTTTTATTTTTTGTGTTGATTTTTTAGGCTGCCATGGGCACATTGGATGGTATCATTGACACGGTTTCTGCAGTCCACCCTCTATTGCTTTTGATTGGTTTGTTGAAGTCTCACGGAAAGCTAGTGATGGTTGGAGCACCAGAGAAGCCTCTTGAGCTTCCAGTTTTTCCTTTGCTCGTGGGTAAGCATGCATAAAAAATAATGCATCGACATGTTTACTTTTGTTTCCTCTATACAACGATATATTTCCACTGCGGGATGTAGGATTTGTGGTATGAATTGTTTACTTTTTGAACTTTATAATGTCTTCGGCGGCAACTTGTTTACAAGAGCGCATTTTGCAATTGCAGGAAGGAAGATAGTAGCTGGGAGTGGCATTGGGGGCATGAAGGAGACGCAAGAGATGATTGATTTTGCAGCCAAGCACAGCATAACAGCTGATATTGAGGTTATCCCAATGGATTATGTGAACATTGCCATGGAGCTCACATTATGAGCGGAATGTATTGATGTATTTTGAATTAATGAATAAACAAGATTATGATCTTTATAAACGGTCAGTCATCAGGAAGCAAAATGGTGCTCGTGTTGGTAACTATTCTAGTGATCTCACTTTAGATTCTTCAAGAACTTGATCAACCAAGTCCTAGAGGTACTCCTAGCAAACAAGAGACTTAAGTGTCTTCGAGTTTATATTTTCCTTGCGGGATTAGGATTAAGTGATCAGCAAAACTAAACTCTTTTGGATTTTCAACGACACCGTTTGTTTGACATAAGTGAGTAAAATGAGAATTAATATGTTCAACGCCACCATCATTGTTTTTGGATTTTCAACGACACAATTTGTTTGTTATGGCACCATATTGATTCGTAATTTTGACTTTTGACAGCTCACACGATATAACTTTAAGAAATTCTTCCAACCACCACTCAAAGCTCTTGGTCTTTTCCGTTTTTCAGGAAGCCACAACCCCATACCGTTGTTTGATTAATTATTCACTCCTAACAAAGGAGCAAACATCAACCCCTACACATTGTGTTGGATGCAGTGTCAAACACAATCACATCACCAAAATAGGTCATAACCACGTCTTGACTTAGCATCCGCCTAAAAGAAATTGTCTAGGATTCCACATTTGTCAATCTCCATCTTGAAATAGTATGACTCGATTTTATCTTTCTTGTCCTCAAAATGCTGCCAAGCAACTTAACAAAATAAACCCTGCCTTGCCAACAGAAGAGTCGCCAGGCCTAGACGAGGACATCCATTCAAAGACATCCGCTGCAAAGGTACCCGTCGAAATGGAATGAATCAGACCCCGACCAGGCACTGGGACTTCTATGGGGCGGGTGGGCGACATGGGAGGCTGTCTCTGGAGAGAATGTTGCTCAAAGAAGATGGGTGTTGTAGCAAATACTAATACATCCATTGAACTAAGTAAACACAAACTTGTAAAACACGACCTGTTGAAACATTGATCAGAGAAATAAACAATTCCGAAATTCTAATTCTTGCTATTTCTTTCGCTAAAACAAAACATTTTGTAGAAACACAAGGAGCTATTTGCCATCATGGTTGATGGCTGACTCTTAGAGTTGAGTTAACAAGCTGAATTTTTTTATCAGTGACATCTCAAAAGAGGAATATAAGTAGGGAGTTAAAAATCAAGAGCCCCAGTTTTGGAGGAGACAGAACAACTACCCGAAGTGCCATACGAACTCCCACTTGAACCATCGATTGGGGCTTGGTTTAGACATTCTAAAACCATAAACCTCCGCCTTTTCAACTTCATTGAGTACGTTGTTGCCTCAAGGATCACAGGAACCTGCTGACACAGTAGAAACCATGAATAATAATCAAACTAAAACACATAAGCAACTGAACAGCAAAGGAAGTCGATTTCCAAATCAGTTATTCCATTTGAACCCCTTCTATTCTAATTTTAACATCTTGAGTTTTCATAACATCTTAAATTCAACATAGATTGGCTACTCTAAGTGAAACAATGTGGCTGCAAGATGAAGAAAAAGACATGATACGGGGATAAAAGGTTGGCTTCGTAGCGGTAACAAGGAGTGGGCTACAACAGCAAGGCACAACGCCAGACGGTGGTGTTGTAAGAGGGGAGTGCAAAGGTCCCCTATAATATGGGTGTGCGAGCATTTAATCTAAGTTAACAGGAAAAGCTATAGTACCAAAGCAATTCTAAGGATGACTGGATGGTGGGTCATGCAGGTGCATGTTTACAAATTCATGGCAAGTGCATAAATGCTATTAATTTTTGCAACAAAAAAAAAATGAAAAAGGAGAGACAGAAATTGATTCATACAGTTTTAGATCTAGGTAGAAGTATAGTCTTGCAGTACCTGTGTGTTAATCTGTGCTACCTTGTGCACATTGAGAAGCCCTACCATGTCCTGGTAACCAGTAAGGAGCTTTTCCATTCCTTGTCCTCGTCTGAATGGATGATCATGTGGATTATTATTGGAGAAATATTTGACAGTGCAAAAACAAGTGTGAACACAGATATTAACCTGGAATTGCTTTGACTGACAGCAAGGTGTCTGCCATGTGCTGCCATCTTATAGAAAAGGATGGCAAAAGAAGACTAGGTGGAAATGTCACAACAGCAACTGCATTTGAAGATCTGACCATGGCTCTTAGAGATCTAAGAAAGGAAAGCATGTCCCATTCCTGCAATGCGACATTACTACGCTCAACTTACGTAGTATATTCATCATGCTTCCAGCATAAAATTCCAAGGACTTTGATAAAACAAGGAAATGTCGTTATCTATCATATTATTCTAATAAAAGTTTTCGAAAAGGAGAAGGCATACAAACTCCTAACAACAAAACTGCAGAGCAAAGGAACCAAGAAGCGGGTGTAAATCAGAGGCCCAATGCAATTAAAACGGTAAGAGAAAATAGCAGGGCCACAAACCATGTCGGTATATTCACACTGTGGAGCACAGAATGATTGAATTGCAATACGACCAACGGACGAAATGCTGCCATCACTTCTGCATATTCAGCCAAAAGAAGGGAGAAAATGTTAAGATCAAGTATAAAAACAAATTGAATAAAATAAAAACACATACAACCATGACCATCCGAAAAGACTTACGGATGGCATCATTACAAGCCAATTAGTGAGGTTTTAATGAGAACTCTTAAGGACTCGAATTAAAAAAATTATACAAGAGGTCTTTAAAAATAAATAAGAAACCAATGAATCACAAAATCAGGTGGCGAACTCACGTGTTTTTAAGATAAGAGAGGTCATAACTTATAAACATAGTTGGTAATTAAATAAAGTTATGCAATAATTTCTTTCCTTGTATAAGCTACCAAAATCGGCCACCAAAGCCATTTCTATTTAAAGAATTTATATCAGACACAGGGTGGCTGCAATCTTTTATCCTCCCCACCCAAACCATCGAACCAAATTACACATGCACAAGCACACAAAAAAAAACTTAGACTCACTAAATATTCGTGTCCACTATGAACAAAGCTAGTTTGACATTGTGAGAAACCAACTTATATGCATTTAATTTCACCAAGCCATAAGTAACCTTTAGGCAGGAAAGCATAAGAGTACAGTACTCCACCTTGGAAATTGAGATAAAAAGGTTGCACAACGGTCATGAAGGGTAATCAGATTTGGAGAATCTTGAATGCTAACGCAATCTATACGCTTGCCGCTTAAAAATTTCCTTTCTAAGGGCTTCCGCAAGTCAAACTCATTGCAGAACTCATGTTTTCCATCTGGACAACAACATAACAAACTGCTCTTGAAATCTAAACCAGCCATGAGCCAACAAGACATATTTTGTACTAGATAAAATAAGAACAAACTTGCCACCTCTATCAACACTCTGTTGATTTTCACCAAAATACTTTTTATATTGCCAAGCTATCCTCAACCCTTTCTCCTGAAATTTTAGAAGAATATAGGAGAATTAATTTCTTAATGTTCACCCAACAAACCAAACTATTGAACAAATACGTGTACAGAAGAGCTGAAGAAGAGAACAACCTCATCAGGATCTCGATGACTAGACTTGTCATCTTTGGGTACCGCTGGGCTAGGCAAAGTACCAAGAAATTGCCGGGGTTCCTTGGATGGGCTTGCATAGAGAAGGGGTTGGTTGTGGACGAGTCCTTGAGACATAAAACTCCTAAGCAAAAGCATATGATGGGGTGCTTCTGCATCTTCCATCACCATAACTAGGCTTCCTAGAGAAAACCCACCACCTAAAATCTCTACAGACCAAAGACAGCAGTATAAAAATTTTCTAAATAAGATTATACTAATACAAAAAGAAATAATATCCGACCTAATCACTCCATCTCAGTTTAACAAATTCCAATTTGATGTTATAGATAGAAGATTACTGTCAAGGTCTGGTATCCCGGATGAAATAAACATTGTGCCATTGGGACCATGCTTTAGTCCAGGGATTTGGTGTGAGTTTGCAGCCAGAAAGTTCCGAGAGAAGCTACTTGTCCGTATCTTGGTCGCAGACATGGCTGCAGAAACACTATCTACTGCTCTCAATTAACAGCTCCCAAATATCAGGAGATGAAGATTGTGCCTGTCCTGATTACCTGCAGCTAAGATTTGCAGGAAGCAAAAATTTTCAGAAATGTTATCAGATATATAATAAACGTCACTGAATGACATAAGTAACAGCTACATGAACATAGAGTTTCGTGTTGAATCTTTACAAGAGGACTTACAACCACATAGAGACCATTCTCATCAAGAAAGTTGGAACTCTAATATTTGATAACTCATAGCATTAACCCAGGTACTACAATGGGATTCCATCCAAAGGTCTTACATTCCACCTATAGGCTAATACTAAAACTTTATGGACTCATTTGATGTTTATGATTGGGTTGGCTCGGACAATTCACTAGATTCAATGAATGTTGAAGACAAATATGGATGTCAAATTGCATATTTTGTCCAAGACTCCAAGTGAAGGTACAAGATGGGGAAGCCATGATGAAAACTCGTCCCTCTCAATCCTACCATTTGTGTGAGGATTAGGAGAATAGTTTTCTTAATGACTTCTCCATCTTCTTCCTTCATTTGGACAAAACATGCAAGTTGGAATCCAAATTTTCATTCTGACATTCACTGACTTTAGTGGCTTGTGCAAGCCAAGCCAATCCTCAAACAAGGCCTATAAGAAAAGCTCAGATTTCATCTCTTCAGGTATTGCTCTAATGCTAAAGCTATCAGGGATTCTGTGTCTAATGCTATAACCACGTAGAGAGAACATTTTTTCAACAAGAACAACCACCAGCCAACCGCATAAGTAAAAACCAAAGGGACATATAGTACCATGTCAAATCCTACCGACAAAAGGACATAAAACCACCCCGAGACCCTTTTCGAGAAGAATGCTGGAGTTCTAGTATTTCTACTTCTAGTAGTATGTAATAACTTAAAGCATTACAATTTGATTCCAACCAAAAGGGTTTAACAAAAGGAATCCCTATTTCCAGCATAAGGTACGCCTAATCTATCAAGTTCCTTCTATCAAACAGTTGGTGTGCATAGCAATCTAAACCAGACTCGGATATACATACACACAGAGAGACAGATATACATACATACATATATATATATATATATATGGATAGTTATCTGTGGTAAATTAAACTTCAGGAGTCTCACCTGGCCTTCTGTTCTTGGGGACTTCAATTCGACGTCCACTCCGATCAGTTGGTTGATTCCTTCGCTTTGCTTTCGCTTCTCGCTCGAAAAAGATGAGTCAGCAAAACCCCACGGTGTTGAACTGCGCACCGTCCCTGTGGGATGTTATTGACTTTTGAGACCGTTCAAGAAGCCCAACATTGTAAAATTCAGCCCATGTACTCCGGCCCATTCGTATTCCCTACTTTTCTTATTTATTTATTTATTTTTATTTAAGTTTTTGATAAAAATTAATTTTTAATTCAAGTGGCTTCGTAAGAGTAACTCCAACATTACAAAGGCTCCCTAGGGCAACTTACTATTGAATCCTCCCAGTGAACAGTAACTGCCTTTTGCATTTCCATCCCTAAACTGAATAGCCATGGTAATAGGTAATAAAATATTAATATTTTTTATTTTATAAAATAGTACAAAATAATTTTATTTGTAATTTCGGATAAGATTTTTAATCGTTCTCGTTGTGCCACATGTCATTATCCGAAAAGATAATTTTTGGTAATAGATTTCGATAAGATTTTTATCCAATACCGTTGTGCCACATGTCGTTACCTTTTCAAAATCCTTAAGGATATATTTCCAATAAGATTTTTAACGAATCACGTCGCGCCACGTGTCACAATCTGTTTACAATCTTTAAGGATAGATTTCGATCAAATTTTTAACGAATGACGACATGCCATGTGACATTATCTACAACTTAATCCTTTCTTTTTCCTCTATATAACTCACCATCCATCCTAAGAAATCACACACCAAAATCAAAATCTATGTCATTGTTCATAGTTTCTGCTTCCTTCTTACAATGTCTTCTTTAAGGATGTTGTGGGATATCGATGAGCAAGAGAAAGAATTGTTTAAGCAAGGAGAAGAAATGTTCAATCTCCACGTGGGCGAAAATGACATGGAAGAGGAAGGGGATGAGGAGCGTAGAAGGAGAGATGATGAAGCAAGAAGCCAAAGAGCCTCACATTCCTGTCGAGTCATCCAAGCTGTGGTTTATATGTCCAGGCCCAACTGTTCGCAACATTGATAGAAGCAAGCAACGACGAGATGCAGATCTCTTGGACGATTATTTTGTACGTAATAGTGCATTCCCTGACATGTACTTTAGACGTCGTTTTAGAATGGAACGACATTTGTTCAACAAAATCATGATTGCAGTTTCCAACCATGATTCTTACTTTGTGCAAAAGAAGGATGTGTTTGGTGTTATAGATCTCTTTCCTGAGCAAAAAATTACTGCTGCCTTGCGGATGCTTGCATATGGAACATTTACAAACCAAGTGGATGAGATAGCGAGGATGGGGAAATCAACCATTCTTGAGTCCCTGATGAGGTTTTGCTCCGCAATCGAATTTATTTACACCATAGAGTACCTCCGGAGACCTACTGAGATGGACTTGCAAAGGCTTCTGAAGAAGGCAGATGCAAGGTTTTCCTGGGATGATTGGAAGCACCGACTGTATGCACTGGACCTGGAAAAACTGTCTAAATGCATGGCAAGGAGCCTATAGGGATAGAAAAGGAGAAAAAAGTATCATTTTGGAGGCAGTGGCATCATTTAATACGTGAATTTGGCAGGCTTTTTTCGGTGTTCCGGAAGCTCAAAATGACCTCAATGTCCTTGCCCAATCCCCAATGTTCAACAATGTCCTGCAAGAAAAAACACCAAGAGTCACGTATTAGGTTAACGAACATAAGTACCATGGGCCATACTACCTAGCAGACGACATTTATCCAAGGTGATCATCGTTTGTCAAAACAGTGCCACGTCCGTGAAGTGCAAAGGAAAAACACTTTGCAAGCTATCAAGAAGGGTGTAGAAAGGATGTTGGAGCGTTGTTTTGGTATCCTCCAAGCTCGTTGGGCGATTGTCAGATGTGCTGCCAGAATGTTTGATTTAGAGTCACTTTGATCCATCATGATGACGTGCATCATTCTTCACAACATGATTGTGGAAGATGAGTATGATTATGATACTGTTGATAAATATGAGTTAGACATGATGAACAATTCTAGAACACAAATATATTGTGCTCATGACGCCACCGAAGAACCTGTGCAACACGAGCCATTACAAAGAGATGGACATTACAATGAAAGGCTCATTCAATGATATATTGCATTTTAGGACCCATATATGCACAATGCCCGGCAAATTGACTTGATAGAGCACCAGTAAAAATTCACCTTGCCAAGCAAGTTCTTCCATACATTTTGCATAACCATTCTTGGAAGCACTTCCTTTTCTCTTTAAAGCCTTCTTACCTTGAGGCCTAAATAGATAACGGGTCAACCCCGACGCTTGTTCAGGGGGCGTTTCCGGCACTTCTTCTGTGTCTGTTTCATGAACATCCGAGGCATGATCGGGCGTAGAGTGTAGAGGGGTACTGTTCATGACAACTTCTGGACTAACATGCACAACTCTGAATCTAAGACAATCTTTGACAATATTCCAACATGCCCATCGAGTGAATGATTTGTTTTTGTTTTTGGTTTTGGCATTATACCAAGTTTATGCTTGAAGTGTCTACACAATGCGGGAGAAGAAATAATTATAATCAAAGTAACTAATGTAAATTTGGGTATAGTACAAACAAATAAATAATATATTGTTACCTGATCTATCCCCACTTCGAAGATTACTACTAGCTTATGCCAAGGCGTCTCTCCAAAGACTAAATGATTGGCTGAGTATTCTACAACGACTGGACATCGATTCTTTGGTTCTTTTCCTACCAATTTTCTCAAGAAAATTGGTATGAATAAGACTCTACATTTCTCACAATTGCATCTCATTACCTGTAATCGGATCATGAGTAACTTCAACCCAGCTATAACACAACGTAACATCTTTAATAAGCGTCCAATTCATACTTGCATCATTAGTCATTTTGTTGGAAACCAATTGGATTGAAACTTTGAGAGAAAGATTGGAAATGGTTGAAAGTATTTGAGAAAATATGAAATTGTGGTGTAAGGGAGAAGATAATGAGAATGTATTTATAGAAAAGTAAAATCATTTTTTTTATTTTTTATTAATTTTTAACAACTTAATTAATTTCTGCCTTTGGATTTAAAAAAATTTCAAATCCAACCCTCCAGATTATGCCACGTGGCACAATGGTAACATTTCTGAATTTTTTTTTTAATTTTTAAAGGCGAATAACATGGACCATTGATTTGAAATCCAATGGCTGCTATTGTGCCACGTCATCTAGCCGTTAGGGGGATGTTTGAATTTTTTTTTTTAAATTTATCTGTTGAAATCCAACAAACGACGTCGCGCCACGTGTCCCATCAACGATAACATTTCAGAACTCTAGGCCGTGGGCCCCACTGACTGAAAAGTTGTTGGTGACGTGCCCCCACCCGCACGAGAATGACACACGCCTGAAGCAAATTTTTTATTATCGTGACTGACGTCACCCTAACATCAGCCATGCATCACCTCGCCTTCATGCTCTCGGGTTGTGGATTCGCGCCTGGCCTGTCCACCGAGCCTCCCCCGTGCCCAATCGCCCATGTGGGCTGAAGCAAGGGAGGGAGGCTGTTGGGTGTTTTGGGTTGCCTGTCCACTGGGCTAAAGCCTCTAGTGTAGTTGCTCTAAGAGGACGTTTTTGGTCACCCCTTTTTGACCTAAAGTAACCTTACTCTCACTTCAACAATCTCACCACGTGTCTAAAACACCAACCATAATTATTCTATACTCTAATTATTTCTATGACGTACAAGGCAAATTCCTAGTAGCTGTTTTCCCCCATTCTCTCGCTCACACAACCAGTTCCATCTCCCCGTCGCCGACAACGACAACCGACCGTTATTGCTTTTCTCTCATTTTGTTGTTTTTTTCTAGTAGTGATGCCTCTGGCCTTTTCTTTCGGTGTTTCTGGCCGTCGGTTTTAACGGTCAAGGCCTGTTTTCCCAGCGTTCATCGCTGTTTCCCGGCGTTCTTCGTCGTTTTGGCTTCTTTACTTTTAATCCCAATCCTACGGGCCTCTTTTTTCAACCCTAAACACTCATACTCTTCCATCTTCTTCATTTACTCTTCCTTACAGGCCTTTCCTTCCACAGCCTTTGCTCAAAACTAGGAACGGCTCACCAATTTTGGCCATCAAATCTAAACCTTCCTTTCACAGCTTCGCCCCCGATTGGCATGCAGAAAAATCAAGGTCAAGCGTTCTATGGCTTAGCCCAAAGCGAGTGTGTTTTAGATGCCCCCTTAGCCCCAATCCCTTTCCTTTTGTTTTTGTTTTCGGTTCTCCTTTCTAGGGCTTGTGTTAGGGGTTAAAAAATGGTGATTCTTTTCCGGTGTGGCTGTTTTGGTGGCGAAATTTGGTTGGGGAGTTCTCTTTGTTGCGGGTTGGAAATTTTTTCGATGCGATACCTTCGTTGAATTCAACGCGAAGTTGGTTTTCTTCAGACGACTACCCTTGTGGTTGCTAGTGGGGTGGTTGTGTTAACTGCTGCGGTGGATTTCTGACTGTGCAGGATAGGATTTAGGGTTTTCTTATTTTTGATATTATGCTTTTTGTTGTTTGGGGCTTTGGTTATCCCCAATTGTGTTGGGTTTATTTGTTGTACTTGATTTTGTGTCATTGTCTTTCAATGAAAATGTTTTATTTTCGACCAAAAAAAGAAAAAAAAAACACTTACAGTTTGTACTTTCTATAATATATCCTTGTTAAATATTTGATTGAAATATTAGATATATAACTTCTCCTCTTCCTCCTCCACCGGCTATACTATCAACAACTCAAACCATATAAGAAACAAAACAAAAAAACCAAAAAGAACTGCAGCTTCGCAAAATTCAAAGAATCAGTAGCGCGTCATCAAAGTTACAGAATTTTCTCACTAGGAAAAACTTACTATATGTCGTGTACTAATCAGCAAAAGAGTCGTCCAATTGACTTGGTCAACTTATGGTCCTTCTTCTTTGGCTTGAGGAAGGTTGAATAGGAGAATAAAATCAAAAATGTCCGCCGACCTGAATCAGCTGTCACTGCTGACTCACAAATTCGGAAGCATGTATATATTTTCGTTTACTGTTGCATTTCTTGCATGTCACCCAACCACACAGTATATA